CTCTCTTATCTGGCCATTTATTCCTGGAGCTGTTCTATGGACAATTTGGAAGACCAGGAATTTTATAGTGTTTGAAGGAGGGAAGCTTGATCGAGCAGAGATTTTCTTTCTAGCTAGGTGCAGGCTTGCTTCATGGTTTCTAGCTAAGGAAACTCATGTTACTATTTCCAAGGATGATATTATTGCTGACCCGTCCATAGTGGATTCCTACTCGTCCCATTCTAATCGGGTTTCAATCGTGTTTCCTTGGTCCCCTCCTCCAAAAGGGTTTGTTAAACTTAATGTGGATGCGGCTATCTCGAGTGATTGGAAGAGGAGTGGCTTAGGTGGTATTTTGAAAGACATGTCTGGTTTGATTCTTGGCTCCTTCAAAGAGCCTGCTGGTCCGGGGCCCCCAACTTTAATGGAATTGAAGGCTATCCTAAAGGGTTTAGATTTTTTTGAATCTACTCGTCATAGGGTTAAAGATAGATTGATTATTGAGAGTGATAGTCAGGTGGCAGTTGGTTGGATTAAGGATGTGGTCTCTTGTCCTGTTGTTTATGTTCAAATAGTTAAAGACATTATTCAAAAGCTTAGTGTTTTTGAAGGTTTTATTAGTTGGGTTAGTAGGACAGCCAATATAGAGGCGGATGTCCTAGCTAAGGCGGGTATTGGTTGAATTATGCTCTGTTAAGGGCTGTTTCTTTCTGGTTTTGTATCTCTTGAGGGAGACTGGTTTGTATTACTTTGTTATATTTGAGTTTAATGAATCCTAGGGCACTCCTTTCCTCCTTGTGTGGATTAAGGAACTATTTTTAAGTTCCGTTAATCACCAAGGGGGTTTTATTGAGGCCTTTTATTCCTATAAAAAAAAGAATATTGGAAAAAATAAAAGAAAAAGACCAGCAAAGAATCACAATGCATTCTCTTTATCAAAGCTATTAAGGAGGGAATTGATTATTTCTATTCATCGGGTTGGTTTAAGAAGGGAAGACTTATTATCGAAAGTGATTCAAAAAGTGCAGTGGATTGGATTAAGAACCAACAACCTGCCCCTACTTCCTTGCGCGATCTGATACAGGAAATTGGGGCTCTTATTTATGCTTTGGACGCTGTTCTTAGGTGGATTCCTAGGAGCTGTAATATGGAGGCTGATAAGTTAGCTAAGCAGGGGATTGGTTGATTGTCTGTAGATTTTTGGTTTGTATGTTTTCTGTTTTCTCGGGCAAAGTACAAGCTTTGAGTCTGTAAGGGTGGTGGTAGTTTTGTAAGAGGTAAACCAATCAGGTATCTAAATTGGTTTACCCAAGCCAGTGGTGTTGGTTATGGTTGTTTTTGGGTGTCTTCTGTTTTTCTGTTTTTGAAGGGGTGATTTTCTGGTTGTATCTTATGTAATTTCAGGTGTTGAATAAATTCCTAAGGCACTCTTTTCCTCCTTCCGCTGATTAAGGAGCTTCTTATAAGCTCCTATAATCAAGAAGTGGGTTTTTAACGAGGCCTACAATTCTTATCAAAAAAAAAAATTGACTGCCATAAAAGAGCAGAAAATACCAAAATGTGGAGAGTCACTAATCTTGAAGTTCCTGAAGCGAATTGGAACATGTATAATCAAAATAGCCTGTTAAAAATCACATAAACTGTAAGAAAATATTAACCATTGCATTATTGCTTGATGCTCTAGCAATGTTCAAGGATAGAGTGAATCAAAGACGAGCATAGTTGAGTTGAATCTTTCGAAGCACATTTAAAAGTAACTTTCAAGGTTTGCATTTCGTTTGAAAATTATTAAAGTAATCCACTATCTGTACTACTATAAAAAGAACACGGTTCCCTAGAAAAAAGGATGAAATGTTATTCCTTAGTAAAACCAAGTCTGCCTTACTACAATCAACTAGTAAGAAAGCAACAGGAAAGCATAACTGACCAGTATAGAAACAAAACCATTTGTGCTCGTCACTAGGTCTTTAAAACGGCTGAATGCATGCACACGGAGTGCCAAAAACAGTAACCACCCAAAACGATGGCACTCTGATAAATAATCTGGCAAATTGGTAGCATTTTGCTTCTTGTCAATATTTGCATCACTTGTCAAGAAGAGTTCCCAGAATGCACGCTTGTATGACCTTTTATACCATTTAATATAAAGATGCAGATGTTATTTACTTTACAAAGTGGAAAATTATACAAACTAACCAGAAAAATAAGATTTTGAGGATACAGTTGATTGAAGGAAAATACTGTAAATTATAGCCATGTAACATCCTTATGAGTCTGGAATTAGTGTCCTAGCCGCGTGTGTGTGTATTGTTTGGGGTGGGGGGGGTGCTCTTGCATATTCAAGAAAACATAAGCACTGCGAATCTGAAACCTTGTAAAACATAAATATAACTCTTTACTAGTGTGATTTCATGCATTTACAAGTAATCCAATCAAATTTAGCAAATCTATTTCTATTAAGATAAAAAGAGAAATGCTAATTCCATTACAAAGCTATTTAGACATATCATCTTATAACCTAGAATAGGTTATAAAGAAGGGCACGTACTTGCTTATAAGGCTCAAGTGCAAAAAAATTGGTCTCCATCTCCTTAGCCTAATTGATAAAAGTACCATAAGCAGAGTGTCAAATAGCAGAAATGTGGCCAGAAAATTAATATATATATATATAAAAGAAAACAAGTTAATACATAAATCCATATTCTTTCAATACCTCAAGTCTACTCTCCCAATCTTCACCATACATGTTACTTAAAACAGCACCAGCTTTTACTACAAACTGAGGCAACTCTTTAAGAAAATCCACAATACTACAAAACAAAATAAAAACTCGCTGTCATTGAAACAGTTACCAATCAGAAAGACTACCATTGTGTACATAAAATTAACAGCATCATACTTCAGCTTTGTAGCTCTCAATATCTGGCATAATGAAAACCCATTTTTGTCAGACTCATGTTGCATACTTTCTTCAATGTTTTCACTCAGCTGCTTGAGCGAATATAAAACAAATGAAAACCAAAATTGCTCTGCTTCTTCCATCTAATACAGAATAAATGCAACAAAGTCAGTTCATCTAAATGCAATTCTCTTTTGTAAATTTACTTAAGGAAGTTAAAGAAAACCACCATCCAGCTACCAATTGCCGAAACATTTGAGGATAAAAGGTGTTTTGTTTCTTTGAATAGCTTCGTAGCATTTGAGCAAGCTTTCTCATCCATAGATAACCCATTCTGGAAACCATGAAAACAAAACACTGAAAACCCACACACACAAAGAAATAAGTATTTGAAATAATACTACTGAAAAGAACACATCACTACCTTGCACAAATCAGTGAATCTAGCTTCAATGCCATCGCCATCCGTGCTACCAGAAGCTGTTACTGAAGGCTTCATGTCTTCCATATTCATCAATTTCCTAAAAGTAGATTTTGAATCCCTCATACATTTCTAACATTAAACTTAAAATCAGCATATTCAAGATTAAGCAAGCTATTAAAGTCACTAATTATCAAAAGAATACAAACACAATTTCACTATAAAATTTTCATTTTAAGAAATCTACAAATACATAACAGCAACTTAAGCCTCCACTGCAAAATAAAATTGTATGCCAAAATTTTCAATTTTTTTAGCTATCGTACAAGGAAAAATAAAAAGGAAGGATAAAAATCATTTATAGTTCAGGAAATGGAGAATTGATTTTGAAGAATGCCAAGTGAAAAAGTTAAAACTCAAGTAAAATAAAGCTTACAAAATTCAAGCTTAAATTCGGTTGGAATCCGGGATCTACAGAGGTAACAGATCCAGAGAAGCGAAACCCTAGCTCCTAATCTACCACCCAAAACACAGCGTTTTGAACGGATCAAGAAGAAGAAAACCCAGTAAGAAAGAAAATAATAATTTTTTCCAATCTTAGTTAAGAACAAAAGAACCCTAATTTTTTTATCTTTTATTTTATTGTATTTTTCTCTCTTTTAACTTTGGATCTCTTTGTTTTTTTGGGGGAAAAAAGGATTTTTCTCTTTAGCGCGGGAAAATTAACCAACATAACATCATGGTAGACATTCATCATGCACATGACATTCGTCGCTATCCAATCACAATTTGACACGTCATAATCTGCCACTGGAATTTACCGCCAAAATTGTTTAACGTCTAGCCGTGACGAAGATTCCCTCTTGGGTAAAGATTCGTAAAAAAGAAGTTTTAAATTTAAAAAATGTTTTGAATCTCATGTTTTTTTTAGTTTCGATATTATTTAATTTTATTTTTTGAATTTAATTATTGATATTCGATTTATTATTCGATTAATTCAAATTATATACTACAAAGATAAGAACGATTTTATCAACTCAATTTACTTTATTCGTAAACATTATTTTATTTTGTGCTTTCAATAACAAACACATGATTTTAAAAAGAAATAAATAAATGTATTATAATAAAAAATATTTTAAAATATAAATTTTTTGTACTTTAATTTTTTTTAAATTTACCTACTATTTTTCAATAATTAATTATTTTGTATAAAATATGATTTTTTAAAAATAAAAATATTATGAATGTTTGATATTTATAAAAGGGAGATGATGTTAGGTAAAATAGAGAAAGTCGAGGGACGTCAAAGAGTGAGGGACTCGTGTGGGTGTGGGGCGGTATAAAGTTGCCTTTTTGTGCGAATGTTATTATTCTAAAAGTTAGCTCAAGTAGTATGTAAGATGTGAATTCACTTCTAACTATTCAAAAAATATATTATTTCAAAAACATTTTAAATTATTAAAAATTTAATTAAATCGTAATGAAAAGGTTTTAAATTAATTTCCACTAACTCAGAAATAAACATTTATATCATATAAAAATTAGAATTCAATTTAGTTCAAATAATTATAGTTCACTAACTCAATTATTTTCTCAGTTCTAAACATCAATTTTCCCCCAAAAAAATAATCTTTAAGGACAATAATTACAGTTTTAAAGTTCAAACTAGGATAGAAATCCAGTCATTTACTCCATTTAAAAGAAAGTCCCCAAAATCTAGTGTTAAGAACCCTTGATGAACAACTAGAAAAGCACAAACTATTTCTTCATACCTTGAATCTCATCCTGCGTGATCGGATTCGTCTTCCGGGTCCATCTCACCGTCTATCATCCCGGTCTCTACTTCAGCATCTGCTTCTTCTACTTGTCCAGCTTCTTGCCCAACATCTATATCAGGGCTTTGCTTTTGATGTTCATCTGGTTCTGGTGTTGGTGTGCCCCCTTGGGAATTATTTCCCGTTGCAGCAGAGACATCAGTATCAATCACTGCTATAGAGGCATCCATATCACCTCTGTTTCCTTCTCCCTCTATCTCACTTGCCGGTGTTGCAATCTAGATGAAAGCCAGATAAGGGAAAATAGATTTTAAAAAAAGGTAAAAAGAAAACAAAATAAAACCGAATGACCTATGAAAATAATGTTCATCTTTTCGGCTCGGAACGCCATAAAAGTGTTTTTACTTTCTGTATCCACTTCTGTGATACTGTGTGTTAAGCCTATAGTTGACCGTCAATAAATAATGTATTCTGCGAAATACCATCTCCAAGAAAATAATTATAGAAAATTTTCACACTGAATCATCACAATGAACATAAGCCAAAAAAAGAATAAGATCAAAGGCATCTTAAATGTTCGGACCATCTGGATTATGCAGTTTAGAAGTACTGAGAATGCTGATTCTGAAAATGATGAATACATGGAAAGACGGAAAAACCTGACTTTCCTCAACTTGATGTGAAGCACTCTTCATCTCCTCCTTTTTAGCACGTTTCGACCGGTCACTAGGTTTACCTTGGAACTTTGATCGCACTTCCAGGGGGAGAAGTTCCAACGGAACAACTCCTTCAATACCATGTTCAGTGAACTGCAATCACCACAGTGAATTTTAATAGGATCTGCAATATACCCATTATATATGAAAACTCTCCATATGTAGATATAACATACTTTAGAGAACCCTTCTAAGTCTCGCCTAGCAGAAAAACGAAGGCCCTTCCAGCAATAAACCTGCATTTTAAAAAAATATTTGAAAGCTTCAAAATCCTCTCTATGTAATTCAGTATCTTATGTTTACACTGATTACAATATTGTGATCTCATATTGATATCTAAATAAAACCATTTGAAAATCTTAGTTTTCTATTTCAAGAAAAAACAGAATCGTTTTTCTTTTAAGATAAGAAAATTGAGTGTGTTGGCAGGTTTGTCGATACCAATAGTAAAACCATATGCATCTAATGAATAATTCCATGACCATTGATTAGTTTACGTAAAAAGGTCCAATGTTCAGTGGTTCACTGTCATTGATAAAAATCAATCCAACATGCACACCAATTTCACGAAAGAGATCATTTTTTTATAACATCATGCTGAAAGAAAAAACAGCACCAAGAGAACAGTTACAAGACTCATAATCTCTTAATATATTAAAAGACAGTTCAAGCAAATTATAGTATCAACTCTGAAGAACCAGATAAGTTTACTTACATCTTCAGCCAAGGGTTTCCAGTAATCTGTGATTGCAGGAGTTCGAACACGTTGAGGGTCAGTCAAAGCATTCTGGATATGCCAAAAGAATTTTACAAATTTAGAAGTCTATAGAATAATGCACCGCAACATAAAATAATTTAAAATTCAAAACTAATACAGGAATGCTCTTTTGACTCCAATAATACAGATCAAACCTTGTTCTATCAATCTATTTGGAGAATATCTGATACAAGGTCTTATTAGTTACTTAGAATTGGGTTAAGTGCAATGAAATAATCAATGCAGCACCATTTAAAACTCAAAGCTGCAGTAACGATATGTGAGAAAAGTTCTGTAACAACAAGAACAAAACCTAACAGGAATAAAAACAAAATTCAAAATACAAGGTCTAATGGATATTGGCTTCCAAAAAAATGTAAATCTCTGAAAAATCTAAGAAAGATAAATGCATGACCAGACCACTTCTACTCTTTATGGTTGCTAGTAACAAAACTTCTAATTTTTTTGACATTGACCGGATGCCAGAAAGATTTGAAGAACTAATATGGTGGTTTAAGAGTTCAAGATGTCAAAGAATGATCCTTTCCAATAGTTAATTATTTCATGAGGAACACGTTTTGTTCCTTTCAAAAGAAAATATAAATCATAAATTGATCAACATCACAAATTGATAAAAATATCTCGTCGCTTTTGAACTTCTGAACTAATTGACAACAGCTTTTCAGTTTATTACCCCCCCCCCAGCACACACATATATTAGTATAGTAGCATTAGCTTTTGTGTACAAGCCAAAAGAAAAAAAAGAAAGAATTCAAGTCATAAAACTATTATGATTTGTCTATTTGGAATATTAGGAGGATAAACAAAGCACCAAAAACAAAAATTCCCATGTTCATGGGATATATGTCAATATGGGTACTTTTAAGGAAAATAAGATTTTTCACAACATAGTCGTGTAGAAGTAAGTTATGGATCTAAGTTCGGTACACAAGATCACAAATAAGATTGTCCAATGATTAATATTGTTTAATTAATACAGTTATAACAGTTTGCCGACTCTTATTGTGTAACAAAATTAAAAGAGAATGAGTTGATAAGTACTCACTGGATTCTGATCTGCCCACTTCCACAACTGAGAGAGTTCTTTATTCCCCAACCTCCACCTCGGCAGACTGTTAATTGGAGAAGATATATAGTTTGTAAGAAATGTGAGACCACAAGCATGGCAAATATTTAAACTATGTAAATAAAACATGATTAGCCAGGCAAAGTGTTCCCAAACCTAGGAGGCAAAATGGATCATAGAACACAGAAAAGTTCTAAGCAAGAAATATGTATTTCTTTGCATCCTCCTGGTTTAAATATACTATCTACAGACAGATAAAAGTTTAAAATAAACATAAATATTAACTTGCACTCGCATACCGTTTCTTAGCTCCATCATGAACAGTTTTCTTCTCTATTGGCTGCTTTTCAAATGGTTGACAGCCATCACGTTTCCACCAGACCTAATAGCACAAGGACTCGGAATTAATATATGAGATAATAACCACCCTCACAACGCCAAGGATAAGAGCAAGGAACATAAAAGAATTCAGGCTTTACCCAATTCTTTTCACGGTCTAATATATGCTTAATACTATGAAGAAAATCTTTCCCCTTCGGAGGAGTCACTTCAAGTAGTTTTTTCACTCGATCTTCACAAGAATTAATTTCTTCTTTCTGGAATGTAAGTTAAGAAAAGCAGAGAGACATTAGCAGATTGCCAAAAACACAACATAATACATAAAGAAATCACTAACCATGCTTTCAGATGAATCTTTATCATTCTTTCCAGGAGCCTTGCACAACAGACAAATGATTTATCAATTACAATAACGGATGGAAGAAAAATAACTTATTGAATACATGAAAGATATCAATATAGAAATACCTTCAGATAGTCAAATAGTATGAGGCACTGCAAAAGAATGTGGCGTCGAAAACTTGGATCTTTTAACTGGTCTCAAAGGGCAACATATTAAAGAAGTGTGTACTCCATAAATAAAATAATCTTATCTTCTGAATGCCACTCACCTCTAAGCCCATCAATTTACTGCTTGTAAGATATTTTATGTTGAAAGTGGTTGCCTCTTCCTCCAAATTGTTCTCAGTCCCCTCTTCCTCACTCAAAGGCTGTGCTTCAAATGTATTCAACACAACCTGCACACCTCAAAAGTTTAAATAAATGATGGCCTAGTTAAATCACCAAGTTTTGGTAGCTGAACAAAATTGATTGACTGGGCAACAAAGTGAAGCAGAGATCCAAAAAAACCTCGTTCACAAAAGGGCATACCATTAAACTAGCTGTAAATTTCTGCCACTTGATAGGAGCATTTGAAAGGGAAGCAGGGTTGCAAAAGTATTCCTGAGAAAGATTACAAATGATGAAATCTTTATAATTTTGTTTTTATCCAGGATGCAAGTTTGTTATTCAGTGCAACAGTAGAAACCTTGCTGGGAAGGAAGAGGGCTGGATCTTATAAAAGAGCTGTTTAAAAACAAAAACAAAATTCATGGGACACCATTTTAGAACTGGAATTTTTTTTTCCTAAAAAAGAAACTCAAGGAATATAATCTCATGAATTTGGGCAAACCAATTGAATTTTCCGCAAGCTATCAGTGTATCATGCAGGAGTTCAGGTCAAAGGGGGAAAGTTATCTAAACGAACAGTTGTATAAAAAACTCTGAATGAACACTTATATTTTATTATAAGAATCTCCACATTTCTATATTTCTTAGACTATAATAAAAGGCTAAAATATGTTATGGTTAACTCGAAAAAATTAAATGCTCAAAATTTAAATCGGAAAAACCATCATTTTAATTAAAATTTTAAATTTTGTAGGAGTAAAACTTTATCATTTCCACTAAAATTCTAAATTTGTAGGGGCAAAACTGTGCTTTTATTTAAAATTTCCAATGTTTTGGGGGCACTACTATTTTTTCATCAAACTCTTTCTATGGCAGGGAGGCTGGTTTTAATTAAATCAGTTTTATTTTCGCTTCCTTCATATTATTTGTCATTGTTTAAGGTTCTGGCTTCGGTCTTCAAGACACTAAATTCAATTATGTCTAACTTCTTATGGGAGGTGGAAATGGTAATTTCAAGTTTCATTGGGTGGCCTGGTCTACTGTCTGCAAACCGAAATTTCAAGGTGGGCTGGGAGTTTCGAACATTGAATTGGTAAATAGGGCTCTTTTTAGAAAAATGGTCTTGGAGGTTTGCTAATGAGAGGAATTCGGTTTGGAGGAATTTAATTTGTTCTAAATACAATATTGACTCATCTTTACTGTTGTTTGACAACAAGGTAAAGTCTAATTCTTCTTGGATATGGAGATCATTGGTGAACAATCACTTCAGAAATGACCCTATTGGCAGTAAAATTAGAAGCAATTTCAGATTTCTGGTTGGTGATGGGAGTATCATTCGATTTTGGCAAGATGTTTGGGCATTGGATCATCCTTTAATGATCATTTTTCCAAGACTATTTTCTATCTCCTTAAATAAGGTTGGGAAATTATCTGAGTTTGGAGAATTTAGTTCTTGCGGTTGGCTTTGGGATATTCAATTGAGGAGGGAATTGAACGATTGGGAATTTGAGAAGTGGTCTAATTTAATGACAATCATCTCAAGTTTTTCCCTCTCCTTTGGTTCACCTGATGGGCTGGTTTGGAGGAGCACTGCAGATGGGGTTTTTACTGTCAAATCTTGTGAAAGTCAGTGTTATTCTGGGATCTCTACTTCGGAAGAGGTTCACTTCTGGAAAAATGTTATTTGGAGGGGTTTGCTGTAACATCCTCAATACCGGGTTAGTAATTAAAGTGTAAGATTTTAAAATTTCAATGATCAAATTAAATAAATTGAAAAGTGAAGGAATTAATTAAAAGATGTTGGTGTAGGATGAATTAATAAGTGAATGAGAATTAAAAGGGTAAGAGGGTCATTGAGCAAAGGTAATAATTAAATATTAGATATTGGGTATTATAATACCCAAGGAAAAGAAATAAGAGTTTCCAGATAACTCTTGATTCTTCTTTCTTCTTCATTTTCTTCTTCAATGTGAAGCACCCAAACCTAAGGTAAGTTTGATTTCTTTTGGTTAATCCTTCAAATTAAAGTATGGGTTTGATTTATGAAGCTTTAGGAAAGATTATGGAGATGAAAAATATTATAGAAACTCAAAGATTGGTGAGTTATGAAGGATTAAATATAAGAAGTGGATAAGTGAAATCTTGAATAAGGATGTATAAATGGATTTAGAAGTTAAATTTAACTTGTCATGAGTGGAAGTAAATGATATGAAGTGTTAGAACTAGATTTAGAACATGTTGAAATTTGGATTTGTAAGGTTAAGAGGTATTAAATGGGTATTAATCAGTTTAAGTAGGTGTGTAAGAGTTAGAATATTAAAGGAGTGAAAGATGAAGTTGAGATGAAAAGAGTGAATTTCGTGCTTGCAATGGGATTTCTGGGTTGTGTGCTTCAATGCATCTTCAATGTGCATCGATGCACTCTCAAATAAACAAACATCGAATGTCATTTATGCACCGATACACAGGTAGTGCATCGATGCACCCGATAGGGAATGCATCGATACATTGTATAGTGCATCGATGCATACCTTCATTAAAAGATGGAAATAACTTTTCTTTTAGCCTAAGAAATGATAGTTTAGAATATATTAATTAGTATACTAATAAGTATCAACGAATTACTATGTAGATACAGAGCTTAATCAAGTTCACGAACAATTGCCCAGTAAGATCGATCGAGGAAAAAGCAAGGAAATATAGGTGAGTGCATATGTATAGTATGATTATAGAAATATACTCAATTCTAGACTTGTGATAAGTCTAGATTTTATATATTGATACATGATCATATTTGTATTATGAGACATGACATGAATTCATATAAAATGCATTATGTGACATGAATGTGTAGGAAAAGTTATATGAGCTATGTGAAAAGGTAAGAATTTACATGTCTACGCGATATAAACTACGTGAAATGTAAAAGCCCATATTATGTAGATGAGAACTATAGGTATAGTTGGCATGCCAAGGGTAGAGGGTCTACGCGGTCTTTCGGGACAAAATTCTACGCGGTCCTTCGGGATATATATATATTCTTTGGAACATGTATGAAGTCTTAGGAGACACATACTTGATCCCTAGTATATGTATATGATTCTTAAGGAATTCTATGTGGTCCTTATGGACATTATTATATGGCACTACGGTGCAATTCTACGCGGCACTTCGGTGCATTTATACGAGCTGTGGTGACAGCATAGTGCACAACCTCACAATACTCACATACCTTAGATTCTCAATATGATATCATGGGCCCATAAATTTTATTAATACAAATTCATGAATGTTAAAGTTATATGCTTACAGGTAAGGATATTGGTGATGTAAACTACATGGATTAAGTATACGCTTTCATCCCAGTTCATATCATTATGACATTTTCATTACATTTCTTTGTTATTATTATTACATTGCCTCACTAAGTCGATGACTTAGCGTGTGATTGTTTCACACGTAGGATCCGAGAAAGTAGACGAGACAGGTTAAGCAGCTGGACAACATTACTCCTGCAACAGTCAGCATCGAAGAAGAATTATCAGAACCTATTTGAAAACCCTCAAACAGCCCCAAAACTGCTGCTTTAGATAACAACAAATTCAAAAACTCACCCACTAGATTAAACAGTAGCGGGGATAAAGAACACCCTTGTCTCAACCCCCTAGACATTATTCTTCCCTATTTGAGTAAAATTAAGCTAACGAGTCATGTCCTCCTTTCACTTGATCTAGGTCTTATTTATAATTTTAATAGTAATGACTTCAACCAAAAAAATCCTAATCCAACTTTATGAACAGAGTTTCTATTCCTAAATGTGTTTCTTTGTAATGTCTGATATATTTAAGATGATTTATACCAGGATGTGGGCCCATTTAGAATCTCAGAGAACTTTAAATGTGTGATCCATTATTTCATTCTTTCTAGCTCTTCTATTACTCATGTAACTTGACGAATGAGTTAGTGTTCACAAACCACATAATGGAAACAGGCCTCACAAAACTTAATAATACCATCCTCTTCTATCATTGAGACATGTGTTTTGTATCTTTTATACCCTCAAATCTTCAAATTTGACGAGTCCAATTCTTATCAATTCAGAAGCACCATACCAAATCAAAGTTGATCTTAAAAGGTCAATTAACCAGACCTACATACTTTAGCCAAAGTTTCAATGTCAAATCACATAATGTAATTACTTTAATTTTTGCTGAGCCTAAACCTTTATAATTCATATTTGAATGTATTCACATGTATATATAGGTTTATTAGAATTCCCATCCACATGCTAAATAGCTTCCACCATCAACGAATGAATAAGCTATCTCCCTACCTGTAGCGCTACGCTTGAACCTGTCTGTAACTTGAAAATGAATCTAAATTTTATACAGTTAAACACTTTGGAAGAAATCACAACTTCCCCAAGTTTCACTTAAGTTTCAAACATTAAATCCTAGACTAATGGGGATTTGCGAAGGAATGATAATGTAACACGAACTGCACTGCAGTACTGAAAAATTTTATAATTGGCTACAGACAACAGATATGACAACTTTATCAGGAAACCATACTCACCTAGAAGTCGTGGGATTACACCCTGCATTTCATCCTCATCATCAATTGACTTCCCATACAGCATTATCTCCTCCCCTGACTGTACTGCAGATGACTGCACATGAGAAAATGTAAGAACTTTAAGGATTTTGAACAGACAAAATCAAGTCGATTTACTGAAAGATGAACTGTTATAATTACTGAAAGTGGAATTTATCATTTTTTTTTTATAGGAATAGGAGGTCTCATTAAAAACCTCCATCATAGTTGCCTCTTGAGAAGAGGCAACTAGCGGAAGGAGGAAAAGAGTACCTCAATATATTAATAAACCAGAATTACATACAACTATAATTTACATCATCACCCGAAATAAAATACCAAACATAACCACTAACACTAAGGACATTCAACCTATCCCCTCCTTAGCTAACTTGTCTGCCTCCCAATTACAAGCCCTAGGGATCAGCCTAACCATAATATCCCTACCAGAAATTACCTCCCCAATTTCCCGAACCAAAGAACTAAAGAACGAAGGGGCCTCAGAAGGCCTGAAAATCCAATCAACTGCAGTTTTACAATCACTTTCGAGAATAAGTCTTCCCTTCAACGCCCAATCCGAATGTAAAAATAGATCAATTCCTTCTTTAATGGCTTTCAACTCAGCAAACAGAGGAGGACCAGGTCCGATAGGCTTAGAGAAATAGATCACGGTAGAGCCATTCGAATCTCTCAACAGACCTCCAATTCCACCCTGCAAACCATCACTTCTAACAGCCCCATCCACATTGAATTTATAAAAATCAGGTGGAGGTGGATACCAGCACAGATCCTTTTTCTTCTTGTGCAAATTAACTGCTAAACCATCTGCAAGCCTTGGATCTCCTATTAATAAATCTACCTGGATGTTAGCTTTAGGAAATTTAGCTAGAAACCATTTGGCCAGCCTGAATCTGCAAATGAAGAACAGTGTAGATCTCTCAAAATTCCATTTTTCAAACACCACTAAGTTCCTAGCCTTCCAAATCGACCACATAACAACACCCGGGATGAAATTCCAAATAGGGGAAGAAGCCTTCAAAACAGACCATGAACTAAGTAGAGACGGGGGATCTTTGGGCAGAACAATATTAACCTCCCATAAATTGATGAACAAGTTCCACAACTCCCAAGAAACAGTACAAAACATAAATAAATGGAGAATTGTTTCTTCCTCCTTTTGGCATAGAGGACATAATAACTCTTCCAAATGAACACCTCTTTTCTTCAATTCCACTCTAACAGCTAATTTTTGATGAGATAATTGCCATAAAAATGTTTCAACTTTTGGGGGAGCCAATTCAGACCAAACCCATTTCTTCCACTGAAAATTTCCTCCAGATCTACGAATAAGAGCTGATCTACAGGCCTTAACTTTGAACAAACCATCTCCACTCCCTGACCAAGTTAGAAAATCATCAACAGTATCAATCAAAACAATATTATCAATCAAAGTCATTAGAGATATCCATTGATCAAATTCCCAATCGCATAAATTTCTCCTCAGACAAATATTCCAACTCCAACAATTATTATCATAACAGCCGAAGTCCACAACTTTCCCCGTTTTGTTAATCGATAAAGCATAAATCCTAGGAAATTGTTCTTTTAAGGTGAAATTATTTGTCCAAATGTCATTCCAGAATTCGATTGATCTACCATTCCCCACTTGGATCTTGGAATTGGACCTCAAACAATTCCCAATATCGTCCTTTTTCTCATAATTATTCACAATTCCCCTCCATATCCATGAATCTTGCGGGTTAACAGCCTTATTAATTGCAAGAGACAAATTACTAATATTGTGCTTGCAACAGATCATCTTCTTCCACTGAGAATGTTTATCATTAGCAAACTTCCAAACCCACTTCCCCAGAAGCACTCTATTCGCCATCGACAAATCCAGGACACCCAAACCACCCTCCTCATACGGTTGACACACAATTTTCCAATTCACCCAATGAATCCACTTCTTCAAGGGATCGTCACCCCAAAGGAATTTAGCCATAAGAGAATTCAACTTTTGGTTAGTCTTTAGAGGGATTTTGAAAATAGAGAGGAAGGAAATTGGCAAGGACGACAAAACAGACTTCACTAATAATCTCCCTGCCATCGATAATGATTTTGCTTTCCAGCCCTCTAATTTGCTATTGAACTTCTGCAGAACTGGTTCCCACAACAGATCTGAGTTTCTGTAAGTACCTATCGGTAAACCAAGATATGTCATAGGAAGAGCCCCCACACCACAACCTGCGATCGTTGCCCATTCCTTTATAACCTCCTTCCACTTGAATTGAGTAAATATAATTTCCAAACTAATAAACACTTCCACGAATTTTATTCTCAGTACTTCAAATTAATCTTTTCCTGTCTTCCTAACTAAAATGACATAACCGATAAGAAAAACTGATTTTTTTAATATTTAATAAGATACCACTAGTGAATTGCCTGATGTACTTTCTGAAGTTTGAAAATGGAGAAAAGGTAGACGGTGACCCATCATTTGATGCATTAGGATTCAAATAGAAAAGAGACAAACACATATGCTTTATAGGTATAACTAAAGATTTCCATCAGTTGCAAAGACAACTTATCTACTTCTAATACAGATATTCAAAAGTAAAACAACTCGTGTTCAGGTAGCACTACCACACAACGACAGCACCAATGTCAAGCAATAGTTACAAGTTTAAGTTTTAGATGATTCAAGCAAAGAGTAAACTTCCCAAGGAAATTTTTGACGTTATTGGGAAAAGAGAGAAATCGAATGAAGGTTGAGCATGGAAGAGTTGCCCAATATCCAGGATAGTATAAACTAGAACTGTCACAGATGATTAAGTTACTAAAGCCCAACCCATCCCTGTGTTTTAATTGTTTAATAAACTATAAAGCAATGGCTTATTTCTCTTTCATATCATATTTACAAGGAATACAACCATTGATGGAAGGAAATTCACGGGATAAACCTAGCAAGGGTTTTCGAAGGTTGCATAGGAAAACCAAAAGGAACCTATTAGTAGAAGCTTTAGAAAGGGTAACCTCTTCTACAACTAAATCTTCTTTCTCGGAGTATCTTGAAGAAGCGCTGGCTACATGGGAAGTATGCAAGATGTTGAGTGTTTCTTTCGAAGAAGGGAAAAAGACATTTCTAGAAAAGGTCATTAGTCTGGAGAAGAAGGAGAGGGAGTTCATTAACCGTTCGATCCTTGAAGGTTTTAATTTCTTGATTTTGTGATGAATTTCTCAGTATCATCGTGGAATATAAGGGGTTTAGGGAGGAAGGAGAAGGTTGGGGTGGTGAGAAGATTGGTGCTAAGTAAGAATCATGTTGTCTTGTTTCTTCAGAAGACAAAAATGGAGGCATTCAGTCTATCGATAATAAGAAAGTTGGGCGGAAGGAAGTTAAGGGGGATGGCTTTTTCTCCCTCGGTTGGGGCTGCTGGAGGTGTGGTAAGTATGTGGGATGAGAATCTGTTAGAGATCAAGGTGCAGGAAGTTTTTAGGAGGTTTGTGGTAATTAGAGGAAATTTCAAGGGTGACCAGAAACAATTTTGCTTTATTAATGTATATGGACCGGCAATAGAGGCAGAGAATGGGAGTTCTTTGAAGAGTTACTATCCTGTACTGATCGGCTGGACTGCCCTTTTTGTGTGGGTGGTGATTTCAATTCGTATTTTTCTTTGGAGGAGAAGCAGGGCAAATCTCAGAACTTACACTCAATGGGTATCTTTAGAGATTATGTATTAAGGGCCAAGTTGATTGATCTACCACTATCAGGGGGAGGCTTCACGTGGTACAATAATAGGGATTCCCCCTCTTTTGTTAGGCTTGATCGGTTCCTTCTAGACTCCAAGTTCGTGGCAACATTTACATACTTGCAACAGGTTCTATTGTCGAAGTCATTGTCAGACCACAATGCAATTTTACTGGAGAGCAATAGAGTCAACTGGTGTCCTAAACCTTTTAAACTTTTCAACTACTTAATGGAGGAGGATGGTTTCCATGAAATGATGGAACTCAATCTAAAAGAAAGGGGGAATGGAAGTAGGAGACGGGGTATTGTGAAAAAATTAAAAGATGCAAAGACAGCAATCAAGAGTTGGTCCAACAATAAACATCTGAACTTTCCAGGAAGGATTTCGGAGTTGGAAAAGTCCATTTTTGAAATGGAATTGGCAATCCAGAATGGTTCTGCCTTAGTTTCGGTGGATTCCCTTAGGGAAGCAAAGAGAGAATTGTGGGAATTATGTAGGAAAGAACGAATACGGTTCCAAAAATCTTTTGCTAGGTGGATTAAAGATGGAGTTAGAAATTCAAGGTTTTTCCATCAGTGCGCATTAAACAGAGGTAGGGTGAATTCGATGAAGACACTGAAAATAGGTGAAACGTTGATCTCGGATCCCATCCAGATTCAAGCGGGGGTGTTAGGGTTTTTTTTGTTATAGGAATAAGGCCTCATTAAAAACCCCTTCATAACTATTAAGTTTTGTAGAACTCCATAGTCATTGGAACGAGGAAAAGAGTGCCCATAATTTTATTGCCAAACATTAGAAATACAACCAAACCCAAACATAAACAATACAAAGACACCCATTACAACAATCTGATTTTGTCGAGAGCATACAAAATATTGATGTAGAGAGCATAGAGCTTGATTTTGCGAAATTATCAAAGACACATAAATCACTATTGGAGAAGCCTTTCTCGGAGGAGGAAATCTGGGAAGCCATTGCCTCATCCGATAGTAATAAGGCTCCAAGCCCAGATGACTTAAATATGGGATTCTTCAAGAGGTTTTGGCAGTCAATCAAGGTAGACATCTTAAGGTTCTTCAAGGATGTCTATAAAGGGAGAAGGTGGGAGGAAGAAGTCAATCACTCCTTTATCACTTTAATTCCAAAGACAAGTAATCCGGTAAAATTAGAGGACTATCGTCCGATAAGCCTAGTTGCAGGGCTGTACAAGATTCTGTCGAAAGTTCTGTCAAGAAGGCTAAGGATATGTTTTGACTCTTTGATTGGTTCTTCTCAATTCGCGTTCGTCTAGGGGAGACAGATTTTGGACTATGTGTTTTAAGCGAATGAGGGGATTGATTATTGGAGGAGGAAAGGGTTGAAAGGAGTGGCGTTTAAAGTGGACTTTAGGAGAGCATATGACTCGGTATATTGGTCCATACTGATGAAAATCATGGAACTCATGGGTTTCGGACAAAGGTGACGACCCTGGATTCTAAAATGCATATCAACAGCATCCATTTATGTCTTAGTAAATGGATCGCCTACTGATTCTTTTAGGATATCTAGAGGATTACGACAAGGTTGCTTGTTGTCGCCAATATTATTTAATTTGGTGGGAGAATTTCTCAGTCTATTACTCTCCAAAGCGGTGAAGTTGGGTTTGTTCGATGGATTTCAGATTGGCACCTCGGACCATCCGTTTATCTTGAGTTCTTGACTCATCTACAGTTTGCGGACAATCTCCTAATTTTCTACAATGCTTCAGAAAAACAGTTAAAGAATATAAAGAGGTTACTGCTTATCTTTGAATAGTGTTCGGGGCTACAATTAAATTTAAATAAAAGCAAAATCTCTGGAATTAATGTGGAAGACAGTACGCTAAAGGGGTGGGCAACAGCTATTGGTTGTTCTATTGGAGTTTTCCTGACCGAGTACCTAGGGCTGCCTCTTGGAGCAAAAAAGAATTCCTTAGTACTATGGGAACCGGTGGTGCAGCGTTTCTATCAGAAGTTGGTTAGCTGGAAAGCGGCCACCTTATATATTGTGGGGAGGTTGGTGCTGATTAAATCAGTGTTGAGCTCCTTACCAATTTACTATTTTTTTTTGAAAGATGGTACTTTGTATAAAAGAATAACAAAGTACACCACCTCAATGACCTCATTACAAAACCTCCCTAATCCTAAATGGAGGAAAAAGAGTGTGCCTTGAGATGGTAAAAATCAAATACACATAAAACTCTTACAATATTCAGACCATACCCCCACCCTACCACAAGCCCCGATCCAATACATAATCAGACCACCACAGAGAAACCGACAATCTGAATAAAGAACACACTTAGAAATATACGCAGACAGCAAAGCCGTTGGAATAAGACTAAACAACATATCAAAACAACATAAACACTCATAGACCAAAGGCAACGCACTAAGAAAAAGTACTTTTCCTGACCCACATCCAATAAAATAATCCTTGGAGCTCAAAGAAGAACCTGCATTCACCCGACAATCTCCTAGCTTCCCACAAAAAGAACAACACGCGAGAACCTGCATGTCAGAGCACCATCTCCAACAACCTCCTATTTCCCAAGACAATGCTTGCCCGAAAGCTCAGGCACCCAATCTTTGAATCACCGCCTGTCGAAGCTGAGACAACGGCGCCCACCGCCTCACCCACACCATGAAGCTCGAACTACAGAGGAGTTATTCAACCGAATAATACTAGCAGGACTGCCAGAGAATACAGCTCCCAAATTACGTGATCTTCCAAAAGTCTCGAGCAGGACATAAACACAAACCCGAGAACTAATACAAATGAATCGTACCCAGCTGACCCAATACATCTCTTGCAAAACGCAAGACACTGGCATCACAACACACCCAAACCATGGAAACAACAACACATAAATCATATCGCAACCTCACCATTTCAAAACCTAACACCAAGAGCAGGAAGCACACATCTCTTAGCTCCCCAAACCACGAAATATCGCACATAAATCAGATCGCATAAACAACACAGCATTATAAGAACGTAGAACCAGACATAGGACAGCGTTAACAAACCACGACATAAACCTCAAAACCAAAACCTATAAACTCCCACAACCCCTGACAGTCACGCACCTAAACCAAACAATTATGCAGACGTTGAAACCTTGAGAACAATCACTATCAGAATCACCATCATTAACGAATCCAACCCTAGAACCTACTCGACTCCTCTTCACTGGAAAGAACACACACAGAGCCTCGCCATAGCAACCCATACTCTGCCATAAACCTTACCAATGAAACAAATTGGTTATCCACAAACAAAGGAGCAGATCCGAAGGAAAGACCTGAAACACTCACCTTTCTACTGATTAATCAAACAAGCAAAGACTGGTTCACTATGACTTTAACACAAGCATCATGCGAGCAGAAATCACTATCGCAACCAGACTCCAAAAACTGGCTAGAAATCCACGTAGTAACTCAAAAACTTAGAAACTAATGTCAAAAATAACCCAAAACTCAAGCACAAAACAACAATCAAATAGAAATAGGAAAAGAATCACATCTGAAAGAGAGAGAATCGATCTCACCAAGCTAGGAGGGAACACCCAAACAAACGAGAAGAAAAAATGGGAACGAGAGTCAAACGAACCCTAAAACCAAAAACACCAGAGCAAGGCCCGACCAAACCCTTGTTCGAAGAACATGAAAAATGTTCAACGACACTATGTTGAACTTTTGAGAGCTTGGGAGAAGTGGTCGAAGGGTAGCAAAGGTAGCAAGAACGGTGGTGGAGGCGGCTACCACCTCGCAAAGGAGGCGGCCACCGCCTCGCCGAAGAAAAACTCAATAATGGAGTAGGCAGAGAAAAAGGGTCATATGAATTAAACTCTGTCAAATTAAACTCCCTCAAATGTCGTCGAAAGTGTTGAGCAAAATTAAACTCCGTCATGGCAAACTTCCTATGAAGTGGGTCATATGAGAGGAATAGGGTACATTGGGTAAAGTGGTCAAAGGTGTGTAAACCAAAAACTGCTGGGGGCCTCGGCATTCTTTATTTAAAACTTGTGAATAGGGCTCTACTAGGGAAATGGGTTTGGAAATTTGCTATTGAAAAAGGGTCGTGGTGGAAGAGGATGTTGTGCAGCAAGTATAATGTTGATGCTCAGCCGATTGTTCTTAATAAAGTTCTGCCTTCTAACTCCTCGTGGCTGTGGAGAGGGATAGTAAATAATTGGTGGAAAGATGATGAATTTGGTGCTATTGTTTGGAGTCGTCTAAAAGTACAATTGGAGAATGGGAATTCGATTCTCCTTTGGCATTATCGTTAGATAGGTAATGTTCGCTGAAAGTTCAATTTACCATGTTTATTCTCTCTGTAAATAAAGGTGGGAAAGTATTGGAGTTTGGTTCCCCTACTTCGAATGGGTGGTGCTGGGATATCTAGTTTAGAAGGAATCTATTGGACTGGGAACTGGAAAGTTGGATGGAACTCATGTCGATCCTGAATAATGTTAGTCTGGGCTCGTTGGTGGAGGACTGTGAGGTGTGGACTGGAAACGGTGAAGGAATTTACTTGGCCAACTCTTGTGTCAAATTAGTGGTAGGGTTGTCTGAAAATGATCCATTCTGGTTGAAGAATATTTAGAGTGGTCTTATGCCCCCAAGAGTTGAAATTTTTGTATGGCATATAGTTAATCAAAAACTAGCGGTTAAATCGGAGTTAATAAGGAGAGGCATAAATGGGATTGTGGACCCCCCTTTGCTCGTTCTGTGGTGTGGATGTAGAGTCTGTTCACCACCTGTTCTTTACTTGCAGTGTAGCTTGGGGTCTTTGGGTTCAATTTCTACGACTTTGGAATGTTTCTTCGGTGGTTTCTAATTCGGCAAAAGTTTTTCTAGAAGCATGGCCAAGTTTATGTCCAAAGTCTGAAATTTTGAACTTCATCCCTGGTGCCATCTTGTGGACCATCTAGAAATTTCAAAATTCCATGATCTTTGAGAATGGGAAGCTGGATCAACCCAATCTCTTCTTTTTAGCTTGTTTCAAGTTGGCTTTTTGGTTCTTGGCAAAGTTTCCAAACCGTCATATCTCCTTCGATTGTCTGGTGGGGAATCCTACTTTGGTTGATTCTTGCCCCACCATCAAGGCCTTAGTTTCGTCCCCCTCCTCCTGGTCTCCCCCGCCCTCAGGTTTCTTTAAGGTAAATGTGGATGGAGCTATGAATAAAGATTGGTTGGGAAGTGGCGTTGGTGGTCTACTGAGAGATGAAGAGAGTAAGTTATTGGGGTCGTTCTCCTATGCTGCTGGCCCAAAACCTTCAATTTTTGCTGAATTGAAAGTCATCCAAGCGGGTCTTTCCTTATTTGTAGAATCTGAATGGTGTGATAAAGGTCGGTTGATTCTGGAAAGTGAAAGTGCCATAGCGTTGGAGTGGTTAAAAAAATCCTGGAAATTGTCCTATGACTTTTCTAAAGTTAATTAAGGAAATTGTGACTATTGCATTGGTTCGTAATGTGATCTTTAGACATATTAAGTGTTCTGCGAACTGGAAGTTAGATGCTTTAGCTAAGGCAGGGATAGGGTAATTAAAGGGAGTTTCTGTAACTAGAGAGTGAGTGTACTTAGAGAGGCCTTGCTGAGCTTTTGGTTTCTCAACAGAATTGTAATCTTGCTGTGTTGATTCTAATGAATAAAATTTTGAGGTACTCTTTTCCTCCTTCCAATGTCCGTGTAAAACTAAGTTTTACGATGTTTATGAGGGGGTTTTAATGAGACCTCTTCTCTTTATCAAAAAAAAAACAAAGAGGGCACACAACCTAAAAGTACATTAAAGAGAATAAATAATAAATACCCAAATATGGGTAGCCTGTAAAACGACATTATATAATGTACACATGGTAAAGACCAAGGACATGTACATACAAAAAGAATGACTAAAAAGTACTGATTCAATGTTGTACTAGATATGATTACATACCACCAATTCTTGAAGCAAGGTCCGAAGCATGTTCTCCAATAATTGATTTTCTTCTTGAGCTAACTTTGTTTGTTTCTGGTAATAAATAAATAAATAACAAAGCAATAACCAAGAAATGCCCAATCACCTAGATACTGAAATTTAGGCATGCCAACCAAAAAGGGGGGGAAATATAGGCAAAAGAATGGCATCAACAGTATGTACTTTATCTGCACCTAAGTCCCAACATGTCATTGAATTCATGCCATCAGAAAATTTACAGAAATTTTAAGGAACTCAACACCAAACCTCGAGAAAATCACAGAAGAATAGCTTAATAGTGAACTTGGTTTTTCTTTACAAGAGAAAATAACAATCTATAAATTCTAAACTCTGTGAAGCATATAACCACGGGGATCTAATGAGCATCTCACAGCACAAGTGTCTAACTTTATTTCCCCCAACTGACAGTTTAAAATCTCTTGCAAGAGACAATTCTAACACCCAATTTCAAAACCATTCACCATCTCCACCCCCATTGCCACCATAACTCCTTTCATAAATTATTACATACAAATTTGAAGTATTTCCTAAAGCATAAGACATGCCAATATACCGGATAGCAATTATACAAACGACCCTATAATAGCAATGCACAAACCAAAGAATTGCAAGGAAGATTCATACAAAGGAAATGGAATAAACATAAATTAAAAACTAAAGTTCATTAAAAATCAAGGATTTATAACCAATGCTATAATTCAAAAAAAAATACCTGAGGTTTTATAACCTCTTGAACCGTCTTAAGAGCAAATATTTCCGGCGGGCCAACCTGCAATATGGCTTCCCTAAATGCTTCCTAGAAAGTTAATTAATAACAAATTTCAGCTGCAAAACTAGAAGATTCATCAAAAAGAGTGAAATTTGTTTTTTTATATAAAAAGATCAAGGAATTAGGGTTACGCTTACCATCATGTAGAAGACTCGGTCCTAGAAAGAATAAGGTATATGGTGAGGATTTTGTGAATTTAAGCTCGGGGTTGGGAGTGGTGGAGGCGGAGGCGGTCGAGGGCTGGGGTTTCGATGGTGGCCACTGGACTGGAGCAAGAAGAAATGTTAGTCATTACATGAGCATAGGTACTGTTTTATAAATTTTTTAAATTTGGATCTGACTTGGGTAATTTTCCTTTAATTAAACTATCCAAAGGTGACCTAATTTTTTGTTTGTTATTAGTATAGGGAGCGTTCTATATTGCTTCTCATCCCCAAAGTTTTTATTAGCACCAAAAACAATACCAAACACTTTTTTTTTTATCAAAATTGTGATAGAAAATGATTTTTCCACTCAAATTAAAATGTAAATCTTTCAATTTTGAGTCGTGGGCTTTAAATAGGGGAGCTTGTTGGCTGTTGAGTGGAAATTTTGGTGAAGATTAGGATGGAGGGATAATGATAACGATGAATTTTTTTAATAATTTAAAATGATAATAAATTAGTGTTTAATCTGAATTTTTTTTATTTATTGATAATATATATCTATTAATATTGTTGTTTGAACTCAAAATTTTAAAAAAAAAATTATAACTAAAGTCACTTAATGAATTTAAGACGATCAAATTTATAAGATTAAAAATTGAAACGATCAAATACAAATCGTTCATATAAAAACATGCACTTAAAAAAACTCAGACTTTTAAATTTATTATACAAATAAAATAATCAATTAAGTATTAATTTCAATCTATATTTTTATATATAAAAGTATGTAAATTTAAATCTCTTTCAAACACAACACCTCTGTAAAATTAACTCAAAAATCTAAGCGGAATAATTATTTGGACTTATAGGATGACCCATAAATTAATTAACCATCTACGATAATTATTATAGTGACTCAAAACTCGTCACATGGTGTAATAAGTTTTAATAAAAAAAATATTCTTTTTAAAATTTATTACTCTCGTGACGAGTTTATACTTCATTATAATAAATAGTTAAATCCTAAAATAAATTTTGAGTTGTTCTATTAGACTAAATAATTTAACCGCCCTAAATTATTGCCATGATTTTGGCTGAGCTTTAGAGAAGATCAGCCTAGTTTAAACATTTTATCAAAAAAAAAATCAATAGAAAATTTCTTTAATTCCGATCCCTTTATATAAGAGGTTTTATGGAAGTCTAAAAATTAAATAAAAAGTGGAATAATTAACAATATGTCTATTTTTTATTAATTTAGCGGTTTACAGATAATAGTATTTGTTTTAAATATTTTTAGTCATTTGATAATTAATGCTCAAATATTTTGTAGTGTGCTCAAATATAAAACCTCTGAATGATAACTGTATTTTTAACCACCGAAGTAATTTGATTCGTGTGTACTAATATATACAAATTTAGCTCTATCATTGAGTGGTTTAAATCGATGCCTTCAAACAATAAAACACAATTGTCTCGTTTATTGCTAAGTAAGGGTCTGTTTGGTTCGCTGAAAACGTTTTTCGGAAAATGAAATCTGGAAAATGTTTTACAGAAATGTAAATCATTTTCCAGAAAATATTTTCCAGTGTTTGGATGGTACATTGTAAAATGTTTTACACTGTTTGAGTAATTTTCTTGAAAACTGTTTTCAGAATCTGTTTTTAATGAAGAAGCTGTACATATTGGATAAATTTTATTTTTTATTATTTTTAAAGGTTCATTTTTTATATATAATTATATTTTATAAAAAAAATGTATTTTAGATAATATTAATAATTGATTAAAAATATATTATAAAAATTTATAAATCCTAAGAATGTTTAATTAATAGTACACAAATTTAAAACAACAATAGTACATAACCAATTGAATTAAGAACAAGTACTCTGTCCGAATAGGCAAATATCATTAATCTAAAGATTTTTCGAACCAATGAAAAACCGGTTGATTCATTAAAGACTAGTAAAAACTGATTGGCAGGGAAAGTAAAAGTTTCCTTTCATTAAACAAAAATGATAGTAGCAAGATCACAACTTAGAAACAATAAGGGTATCTTTACATCAAACTTCTAATACAATTTGGTCAAAAGGGTTGTGGAAGTTTGAGGAAATAAGTGATCAATCAGTACAACTATGGCTAATGCTAATATCCGGTAGAACATGAAATTCAACAGACCAGGGATTCCTGAACGTGCTATAAAGTCACCCAGCTTTACATGAATCAGTTGACTGTTGTTGCAAGTTATTCCCGATAAAATCAGACAATTTGGTGGCAGTAAAAATAATCATCCATTGGAAGAATGATTCGAATAAAGAATATATTAGAATCAAATATTGCATCACATATTATTTAAGCCCAACTAATACTTCAAGAGGCCAAAAATAAACATCATAGTTGTTACAACACCCAAATTCCATGCAAGAAAGACTTCAAAGGCAAGCAGCTTCATTTCATTGAAGCTGGTATTATCAATTCCCAAGTTCTTGGTCCATAATGAAAGCCAATGAAAATGATGCATTCAGTTTATCTGATAGTAGCCTTAAATATCCAAAAACATGAAAATCTTTGCAATTACATGTGACTACAGCCACAAAGTAAACTTAAAATAAAATGGAAAGACCAATAGACAACAATGAATAGGTTCACCTTGCACACTTGGTGATCCTTCAGGAAGGACTGAATGGACCGAGTTTGGGAAGACTAAATATGCAAATACCTTCATTTTGTGTTATTATGAAAGACATCAATGTCAGCAAATAGGATCTAAACAAAATTTACAAGAAACCAAGGTAACTCAATTCATTCCTATATAAAGCAGCACTGAGTTGTAAACAACTGCAATCAAAGTATAGTTTTCCACAAATAGCTAACAAATATGGAAGCCTAATCTTTGGAAAACTATAAGCACTGGAAGCCTAATCTTTGGAAAACCGAAACTCATGGCACAAATAAATGAAACTGTAAAACAATCCTAAGGGAAATGCATAAAGGATACAACACCATCATCGTTGGCAACCTACAATACAAAACATAAAAACTTGATTTATGAACAACTCGGCCATAAACAAGATATACTTTTCCACAAATAGCTAACAAATAACCTACCTGTATTATAACTGATGTTGTAGTATTTGGATTAACAGTCAAAATACAAATACTCTGCAGGGTTCTCTTCAATATCATTTCATATTCCTTTTCTAGTTTCCCTAAACACCAATGTACATATTTTAGAAATTTCCCAGTTTACCAAACTTCAAATGCAAGAATAATTAAAAGGGGTGTTAAGAAATCACCTATTTGTCCAGATTTAGGCTTCCAAATAACTTCAATGCAAGCTTTCTCGGGGTTTTCATTCTTTTCTAGTTCCAGCTTTCGGCTCATAAACAACAGATTTCCCGTCGGTGAAATTGAAAATGGAAAATTAGGGAAAGATGAAACAAGAAAAGAAGGTCAAAGAAGTTGAAAAGGGAGAAGAAGAAACGATACATACCTGAGAAGACGACCGCCCGCCTCGCCTGTGAGAAGGATTTCAAATAGTAGATCGATTTTCTGGTGTGGAGCAAGGGACGGGAGAAAGAAATTACCGTGTTCTCTGTGTGGAGCAAGGGACGCGAGAAATTTGGAAAATGACTTACCCTTTTTCAAACGGTAAGTCGAAATACCGTGTTTTACTCTCAGTTTTCCATTGACCGGATTTCATTTTCCGTTGACCTGGGTGTTTTACGCGAACCAAACACTTGAAAAAGGGGAAAACATTTTTCGTAAATTGTTTTTCCCGTTCCAAACAGACCCTAAGATTCCGTGGTTGATCAATACAAAATAGTCACATTTTCGACCAAATAGTTTTCTCTAATAAAACTCTATTGAAAGATAAATTGGCTTACGAAAATAAATTGTACGTACTCAATTGTAAACCACTTATCATTTCAATCAAAATTTTAAAAAACGGTCCGCGATCGTAATTTCGGCCGCGATATAGCGGCTTCGCTGCCGTCCGAGTTACCCGTGACGGCCGCAATCACTGTAAATCCGAAATAACCGAAAACGCGACCGCGACCGCAATTTAAAACCATGATTTCAATTACGAAATCCCTACAGTTTATAGATAGTTCAAGGGCCTATTTACATATTAACCCTAATTACTTGCCATATGTTCGATTCTTTCATCCAATCCTAACAAAGAATATGCTAAGTTCAGGGCCGGAGTTACCATCTGGATTCATCATATAATAAGTTTCCGAATCTTTATAATTAACGACACGTTCAAAATGCGCTCGCATGTACGTCAACTCGCTGTCGGGATTCTCGGTCGCTTCTGCCGGGATAATGTCGGCACCCATTGAAATAGGATGCAACGTTTGCATCACCATTAGATCTTCATCCGTCGGTTCTCTCTTCACAGCATTTCCAGTTATTTTACCATTGCAATATAAGGTCTATTTCGGCTCTTCGAGGATCTTAATCTTCTCATACGGACGCTTTTCGCACTCGAGAGCGATCCTTACGAGCCCTAATCCCATATCATGGAGGAGTTTTCATGTGTTTATTGCAAGCTCAAGGACTAAGATAGGGAGGCATCTTGAGTTTTCTTGGATGGCAAGGATGACCCTAGATTTACGGTATCCGAATAGGGCTCCGGTCATCCTCGTGCCTCCGTGGATATGGTTATCGTGTAACTTGCTCCCGTGGAGACTGATCGGAATCTTGCACGTCGGCGTTATGATCGGAAATGACCTAAAAACAGAACGGAAACGCCTGAAGATCTTAGACGATTTCGAAGATCCGTGCTTATTCGATGGTTGTTGAAGAGAGATCGGTCGTAGAGATTCCGGCTGTGGTGGATTTATGGGCGGAGTTGTAGACTTAGCATGCACGGATGAAGGACGCGACGACAACGGCGGTCTCGATGTGGACGCATTGTTTCTAGTTGCCATTGATGGTCGGGGAAGGATGGCTTGTGATCAATGGGGGCTAAGAGTTAAAGGCTTGGGGCATACAAATATTTGCAAGTATATGGCATGCACGTTGTTCAGCTTTTACTGAATTGGAATTTAAGAAGATTTTCTTTATTTATTATTGTTATTGTTTTGATTATTTAAACTATATATTAAAACCGGCTTATGGTTAGGGTTTTAGTTTAGTTAACTAAAGATGTTTTTTCACTGTTGGATAAATTGTTCTCTTTTTAAAGATATTACGGCAAGCCTGCAACCACTTAAAATGGCTCTCATTTCTCAATGTATTGAAGCTTGCAATACTATATGGCGTAGTTTTTTATTGAGATTAGCTGGGTTTAGTTAAATTTGTTGGTCGGTATTCAGTTATTCACTGTCAACAACATTAAAAATATATTTATTCTCGTGTATAAAGATCAAACCACGCCATATTATAGTTTAATAACCTTCATTTTCTTCCTCCTTTTTCAATACCCTTTGCTCCTTTTGCTTCATTTTGGGTTAAATTGACGTATAGAATAAAATTTTCGACATGAAAGACCTTTTGGTTTACATGCATGATGTCTTGCTTTGTGTTGTATCTGTACTTTTTGTGGTGCTCGAGCACCAATGCCAGCTACTGCCAATAGCCCAAAGTGGGGGAAGAAACCAAAAGTTCTTCTCATACTCGGGATCGACATCGACGTAGAATTTTATGTCAATGATACAAATTTATATTAAAAATTTAGAAATACAAAATTGGATTATCAATAAAAATATAAAGAAAGTAAAATTTGAAATTGACTTGCATGGGTTATATGAATTAAGTATCTCAGAAATGAAACCATTTGCTCCATGTCCCTGGAAATGGTTGTCAATTGCACTTAATTTCAATGATATTCGAATTTGGGTGTGAGTGTTAGATACGAGTACATGCTCAACACTGGTACGTCAAATTTCCAAGGTTCTTTTTTTGTGTTTGAAGGGTCCTTGACATGTTATATCCTCGTATTCTTGTTAAAAAATATGTCAACAGACACTGAATTTTATATTAAAATGTATTTTAGGAAGGTAACCGCCCCGCTAACCCTTTCAGTACATCCCTGTTTATAAATTCTTCTATAGGCAAATTTGAGACTTCCGTTGCATGAAAAAGGAAATTGAGACCTCCATTGTCCATGTTTCCAAAATTCAGCTCTAACTTGTTAAGTTGTTCATCTGTTTTTGCATAAAGTACATGGCAGCCTATATTTTGATATAGTTTAGCAATTGAGATGGTTTGATCTTTGTTATAGTAAAACAGTTGGTCAACTTTTTTCCTTCATAGCTTCTGTACGGTATTTATTTAGGAATATAATATCGTATGATACGATACTTTTTTAAGTATTTTCCTCTAAATGTATAGAAAATTTTGAATAATTAAATGTATTTGTGTCGAACTTATGCTTAGATGATTTTTTTTATTAACGATAGTTTCAAATAATAAGCCATTGAAATATGTTCACTTTGTTGTTTAAGCCAACAACGTTGGATGAAACATATAAAACTGGTGATGAATATAGGTTGGCAAATATATCAATTTAGTTGGAAATTAATGACTCTGAATGTATTTGCTTGCAATTGTATGTGTGAATAATCATTATAAGTAGCGGGTCCATTAAATTAAGATTAAGTGGAGCATTCAAATTATAGTCTTCAATTCTAATAGGGTAAGGTAAATGCTGAAATAGAGGTTTAATTTTTCAAAACGGTTGAATAAGAGTAGGAGTATAAATGAATTGAGTTTCAACAAATAAGGTTGTGATTTAGTTCGGTAGTTCAGTTTGTGTTCGTTTGAATTTTTAATATCTTGTTTGTGTTCGTTTATTTCTTTTTGAAGGAATTCGTTTAGCGTTCACGAATATGTTCATTTAATATTCGTGAACATGTTCACTTATATGTTTGCATACAAGTTCGTTTATCATTCACGAACATATTCGTTTAGTGTTTGTTTATATGTTCGTGAGCATATTATTTATAAGCTAAAAAAGTTAAAATTAAATCACTAGTTCTTAAACTCCTTAAGCTTCATAGTTTATGTAATACCCAAAAAAACTTTAGTGACCAAAATGAATAAAATGAAAGTTTGATGGTTAAAGTGTATAAATTTAAAAAAAATTAGGGACAAAATTGTAATTTTCAAAAGTTTATATTTTTGTCCCGTAAATGAATAGTTTCCCTTCATAATGACGTTTTGGTGTCACTCAAATTTTTAGTATGGAGTTTGTGTTAAAATCTATAAAGGGTGAAAGATCGAAAAAAATTCAGATAATTGAATCAAATAAAAAACTCAGGAAATTTTGCAAGATGATAGGGCATGGGTAAAAATGTATTTTCCATGCTTTAAAATGATAATATTTAATGTGGACCATTTGATTTAAGTTGATTTCCATGTTAAATCTTAGCCTTTGGATTAAAGAGGACAATATTATAATTTTAAAACTTTATAAGGGCAAAGTTGATAACTACTAACTCTATGGTTTAATTTCAACCCTTGGATGATAAAGTTGACATGTGAAATGATTAGGAACATTGATTCTTAAGAGTAAAGTAGTCATTTTGGATTAAAATGAATTTTAATTTGTTTAGGTTATAAAAATAAAAAAAGGAGTAAAATAAAAAAAATCATTCAAGAAAATTCTTGAAATCTCTTTGCTGCTTCCGTGAGTTACCAAGAACACCTAGGTAATTTTTAATTGATTTTTGAGCTTTTTTTTTTTTATTGGATTTAAGGTTAAGGCGTGAAATACAATTTTATTCTCCATTGAAATGTTTTCTATTTAATACCATTTGTTCATGTTAACCCTAAAATTATGAAAAGGGTGGATGAAGGGATGATGAAATTTGAAGTTCCAAGGCTTGAAAATGGAAATAGGTGTTGTGATGTTGATTTCATGCTCTAAATGATGAAAAATTCATTAGTTTTGCATTTAGGGATCAATTCAAAAAAAGATGAAAAGTTAAAGGTTGATGTTTTGAATTGATTTTTATGTTAGATATGATGAGAATATTATGTTATATGCCTTAGCATGTTTATTCAAGCTTGGAAATGAGGACAAATGATTGAATCCTAATAGTGACCAAAATGACACTTTATGAAAAGTTTAGGAATTATATTCTAAACTTTAAATTGATGAAGGTTATGGTTGAAACTTCAATACATGCTAAGTGTGTTGTTTGAAACTTGAAATCACTTTGGATGATTATGGATTATATTTGGCCATGTGGGTTTCTTAAAGAAAATTTTATGAAAAAATACAAGTGACTTATTTATGATATTTGTTATCTTTCAAGGATTAATTTGGTGATTAAATCATTGGTTAAATACTTACTCGGTCTACCACTATCTAAAAACACACTCAAACGCTCATTGTCTCATCACAACAACTTGCTCAAATATCACT